GATTTAGTTGATAGCGTTTGTTGTCTACTTGTATATAATCAGTCTTAAGAGTGTGAAGATGATTTATTTGATGAATGCGCATTATCTGAAGTAGTTATTTTTGGTTTAGGAGATTCAAAATAGTCTCCTCCTTTTATTTGTTGTATTAAACTTGTTGTCCAAGTATCAGGGTCTACTTGTATTGGAACTATACTTGATTGACTAGAAGGAAAGTATGACGAAGAAGAGTATAGTAAAGTTAACTCAGGTAGTTCAAGTGTATCTGAGGTAAAAGAGCTGGTGGTAGTAGTTTCAAAATTTCTTTCTTCTTCTAATAACTTTATAGTAGTTGAAAATGGTAGTGGATGGGTACTAACTGCAGGCGAGAAACTTTCACTTATATTTTGACTAGGAATACTTGAATTTTACTTTTGTTTAATATTTTGAGATGTTCGTACTGGTGATTTAGGAATGATAGTTTTCTTGTTTTTTCAGATAAAGTAGAGTTTACAGAGGGACTAATTATAGAAGTAGTTAAGAAATTATTAGACTAAGTTTTTTTATCCTCAGGAGACAATGACGGAGTTTTTGTGGTAACATCACTGTGGAAAGTAATTATAGTATGTAGACAGTTTGTGAAAAATTAACAGAGGTATTTGAATGGGACTGTTGTAACTTTTTGGTAACGTGCGTGGAAAGAGATTCAGTTGGCGGTTGGTAACTCAAAACCACAGATTATTTATTGAAGAGATTAATTTAGTAAGCTGAAAGTATCTTTCAAAAAATTTAAGTTGTTCAAGATTTTATAACAATTGTCTCAAATTCAGAAGAGTAAGTTTAACTGCTCCTTAATTTTGCGTAATTCTTTAAAATCTTCTAATTTTCAAATGGAGTCCTCAGTTTCAGGTGTTTGATTAATTATTGCTTTTATTTTTTGTCGATAGAGTTTGACTATTTCTTCGATAGTTTTGTTAAGCTTTTTAACTTGTGTTCACCATGACTATAGGTATAGACCAAGAGCTGAATGACTTTTGAATTAATTCATTTTTTAACATATTTGCTATTTCCTCCTTCAAAAATTCTAAATATTAGGATGAAGTTCTATAGGAATTTAATTTGATTGGTTTTGCTTTGCCAATATCTATTATATGCTAATAAAGATTCATTTTTCCAAATTCTGAAAGGTCTTTAGCTACAAGATTCAGAAACTCTTCAATAATTTCATGAACTTGCGACCTTATTAATTCTCTGCAAATTTCTCTACACCACTTCATACCAGATTACAGCAGATATCTTGTATCT